AAAACTGAACAGACCACAAACCAACTCGTGTTTCAGGGCTCTCCGTGTCATCTGCGTACCTGTAAACTCCGGCCTCCACCTGCTGCCATTTATTTACAAAGTAAATGCTTTGTTTGTCCGTTCATGGTTAGTCATAATAAACAATAAGCAGAACCTACACTTAATAAATTTCATTTTTCAAGACTAGCCTGCCAGGTTAGGAGTTGAAAGAAATATAAACTGAACTTACGTTACACGTTTCCAAGACAATGGTCCCAATTGTGCCTGGTCTAGAGCATGTGTCAGTGTATGCCAGGAGACGGCTTCACTCCTCTTAAAGTTCAGGTGTGCTATTTATCTAAAAAGGGAAGGCAGTAACTCCACTCAGAGACTTCCAAATAAGGAGACTCTCCACTACATTCATTGTCTAACTGTGTAGCTACTGGCATAAGTATCAAAGTTGTAGTGGTTACTATTTACCTTGTATCTTTTAAATACAGTGTATTTGTGCTTTTGCCACATTCGAAGCAGGAAGATACTTTTAAATAAATGGAGCATAACAAAAATTTCTAGGCAGTTCCTCCTTCTTGCAAGTCTTTTATCAATTTTTAAAAATGACAATTGATAATGACTCAAATTCAACTAAGGAGCTTTTATTTAATATATAAATATGTAAAACCTCAGCCCTGTCTTTAAGTAGGCGCTAATTGAGTTGGTGAACAGGCGTGAGTCATGATCTTTCTAAGCAGCTCTAGAATCATTGAGGAAAGGCCTCCCTGTCATGTCTGTTTTCATACGAGTACTTTTGGGGCATCAGTTAAATACTTTTATGCACTTCTCTTTCGGGGGAAAGCATCAATCTAGAACAGCAGCTACTTTGCACACTTTTCAAAAGTAGGTAGATTCTGGTGTGGAAGAGAGGTCCTAAGCAGAGAAGCAACTTTGCAGGAGTTTGAGAAAGTTAGAGACCCACATTTTCAGCAGGGGAGGGCACGTCTGCAGGTGAGGGTTTGACTCCTAAGTTTGGCTTCCTGTTAATTCCAAGAATACTTTGGTGACTTTGAATTGCTCTCTGTTGTCCTTTCAGACTCATTAAAAAAAGAAAGAAAGAAAGAAAGAAAGAGGCCATGTAGAATGAGGGTTAGAAGTCTAACTGAAGGGGCCAAGGAAAAGAACATGGAACATCTGTGTCACACTTTTTCTTACTTTGAGTTGAGCAAACTGGAGGGAGAGAAGGAGCCCAGTAGTCCTGTTGAGTCGTTAGAGGTGTCTTTTCCAGTCAAAGCTAACTCAACACTGTGAGCCTCTGAAAGTATCAACCAGTTTCCCTGCACTCTTGGGGAATGTTCCATGTGTTTGCATTTATAGGTGGATTGGCTCCCCCAATCTCAGATTCTCTTAAATCTATTGAGAAAGTTAAACTTTTCAAAGAAAGTGAAACTTGGAAAAGAGTTTGTATTACTTTGCAGATGTGGGTTTACTGGGGTATAACACAGGCCTTTGTCCTGCTGCAAGCAGGCTCCATGTCTTCACCTGACCACCTGGCCATCCCAGCTCACTGGGCACAAAGTGGGCTGGACCAGAGAGTTGTGGAATGAATGAATGAATGAATGAACGGTAGGCAAGCAGATGCCTGAAGAGCAACAAGTGATCTAAGCAAGGTGCCAGGCCCAGTGAGCCAGGGAAAGTTGGTTGAAAACTTTTGTGTCCTGGCCCCTAACCCAGTGCTCTCTACCATTTCCTAGTGGGACATCTGAGATGCGGCTGAAAACTTTTGAAACAAACTTTTTAAACAACTTCGAGGTCAATAAACTACTTTCCCTCTCTTCCAGAGCCCCTGATGGAGCCCACCTGGGAGGACCACGCACACACCAACTTTGCAGCCTGGCCACAGCTCCTTGGTTCTCGGGTCGCCGCCTGCTTCTTCTAGCAATGCTAGTTTTGCACTCATGTGGGGCTTCTCACCGAAAGACCTAAGAAACCCCGTCCGTCCCTCAGTCCGTCCGTCGTCAGGGCGTCACGATGCCTTGGGCTCTGCAAACACCTAGCTCCGCGGGCACGCGCCGACCGCCGGGAGGGCGGGGTGGGCAAGGTCCCGCGTGCGTGCGTGCGCTCTGCTAACCGGGAAGCGAGGTAAGGAGGCGCGCAGCAGGGGAAGCGCCGCCGTCGCACACTTTGCACGCCGCCCAGGGCTACACCACTCACCGAAAATTGGGAGGCAGGTCCGGGAGGCGGGGTCGGGCGCCCACCGTCTTGGGCGAGCCCGCACTCCGCACCCGCGCGCCGCCCGCGCCCCCTACCCACACCAGTGCAGCCCCCGGCCCGGCCTGCACCCCGGGGCTGCCAGGCGGCCCGTTTGGGTGCGTCCTTGGCGGGCCGATTTTTCGCGCTTCCCCTTCGCTTTATAGGGGCCACTGCTGTGGGTCGGTCCTCTGAAGAGGCTGGGGCGTCATCGGCCGGTTAGAAAGCGCTGCTGCCCGGCGGGGACACTCAGTCGCGTCGGCACCGCGGAGCGGGCTGCGGCAGGTGGCTGGCCCGGCGCTCACTAGCTCGCCCGCCCGCCCGCCCGCCCGCTCTCTGGCTTGGGGCTGCGGCAGCGCGGCTGGAGCGAACCCCGGCCGGCCCGGCTGGGGCAGGCGTTGGGCAGCCGGCAGGCAGGCACTGCCTTGCGTGTGAGTGCAGCTCACTCACATGTAAGTCGGGGAGCGCAGGGGCCACCCGCGGAAGTGCGAGTCGCCCGGCGCGGGCAAGAGCCGCCGGGGCCGGGACAGGGCAGGGGCGCCCTGACACCGCTGCCCTGCCCCGTGCCCGCCGGGCCACCCCCCAATTCTCTCTTTTCTCTTCTCTCTTCTCCATTGGCGTGCGTCCCCAAGACCCAAGCACGGACCGCCTGAGGGTAACCGCACACGCGTGCCATCGTGCCTTTGCACTTTTCTTTTTTGAGTTGTTTGACATTTCTTGGTGCTTTTTGATTTCTCGCTGTTGTTGGGTGCTTTTTGGTTTGTTTTCACCTTTTTTCCATTTGCTCATCCTTTTTGACGCTAACTCTTAGGCAGCCAGCTCAGGTGCCCCGAGTGCGGGCAGCAGCGCTCCGGTCCCGGGGCTGCACCGCGGGGACCGCAGCTGACCCCCCATCACCACCCCGTCACGGGGCGCTCGGGGACCGGGCAGCCCGAGGCCAGGGGCAAGCAAGGCGCCCGGGCCAGGCGCGAGGAGCGGGGCTCCCCGAGGTGGCCGCGCCACCATGCTGAAGCTGGCCATGAAGCTCCGAGCCCGCGCGGCTGCGGAGAGCGAGAGGAAGACGGCCGCAGCGGCTGCAGAGGTGGCTGCCGAAGCTGCCGCGGCGGCTGCCGCGCTGGCAGAGCCGATCGAGCCAGTCGCCCCGCGGAAGAGCAGGGACCCCGAGAAGCCTCGGAAGAGCGCAAAGAAGCCTGCGAGGGAGACGCCCCCCGAAAAGTTGCTGACCGACAAAGAGCGCAGGAAGCTCGAGAAGAAACTGCTGGAGCAGAGGCGAAAGGAGGAGAAGAAGAGGGAGAAGGAGATGAAGAAGTTGGAGAAGATGCTGAAGAAGAGGATGAAGAAGGTGCCAGAAGCCCGGGCGGAGGCGCCCGGCCCCGAGGTCGCCGCCGGCCCCGCCGCAGGCGAAGACGAGGGCGCCGAGGAGGGCGCCGCCGGGGGCGCAGAGGGGGCCGCCGCCGCCGCCGCCAGCGGGGGCACGAGTAGGGCCTGGGCCGCGTGGGACACGGACTCGGGCGACGAGGACGACGCCTACTACGCGGCGCCCCGCGTGGGGGGCGTCGTGTGGCGGCCCGGTCTGGCCAAGGCTGGCGCGCTCAGCGCCCACCTGCCCCTCGTGGTCTTCCTGGTCTTCTCGGTGCGCAGCCCCTCGTGGGTGCTCAACTTCCTGCTGCAGAAGCGCACGGAGCAGGGCCGCGGCTGCGGCTTCGTGTTCGGGGCGACCTGCTGCTTCCGCGTGTTCCTGGGCTGCGCCTTCTTCTCCTACCTGGGCGGCCACGCCAGGCGCAGGGGCCGCGCGCGCTCGGGGGCCGGCGGTGGCCTCGGCTCGGGCCATGGCGGCCGGCGCCGCGCGCGCGAGGAGCGCCTCATTTAGGCGCCATCCCCTCCCCACGCCGCCCCTCGCCCCCCATCGCTGTGTAGTGTGGACTTTTATTCGTGTTCGTGTGTGTGTGTGGACACATCTGCCTTTTCGGTTGCCGTGTGCTTCGCTTCGTGTTCGCCTCGCTTTTCTCCACACTCCCTGCTCGCTGGCTCTCTCTGTTGCTCTCTCTTTTCGAAATTTTCCTAAGTCCGGGCTGGCGCTCCCTCCCCTTCCGCCCACCCCGGCCCCTCGGCGGCGCCCGCGGCAGCGGGGGGAGCGGCAGCCTCGGGGGCCGCAGGCCCGGGGGGAGGAGCGTCGGCGTCGCGCGAGGGGTCGTCACAGGCGCGGAGACGCCCCCCGGCCCCCCTCGGCCCGGCCCGCCCGGGGCCCGCGGCTGGGGGGTCGGGGGGCGGCTCGGCGGCCCGTGCCGGCCCGGGCAGGGCGCGGGCGGAGGGACCCCACTTCCCGGGCCCCGGGGGCGCCGCCTCCCTCCGCCGGCGCCCGCCCTCCCCGCCGCCGCGGCCGCCGCCGCTGCTCGGCCCTCCTCCTCCTCCTCCTCCTCCTTCCACCCCCCTCGCCGCTGTCGCCTCCGCCTCCCCCCGCCTCCCCCCGCCCGCCGCGGCGCTTTTGGTTCGGGGCGGCGGGCCCCGGGCCGAGGCAATAAGAGCGGCGGCGGCGGCAGCGGCGGCAGCAGCTCCCGCAGCTCCTGCTCGCGTCTGCCTCGGCCCGGCGGCGCCCTTCGGTCCCTCGGCCTCGGCTCGAGGGGCGGGGAGCTGCGCGCGCCCCCCGGCCCGCCCGACCGACGCCACCCTCTCTCCGCGCGGCCCGCGCCCCGCAGTCCGCCCCGCGCGCTCCTCGCCCGCCCGGCCCGCCCGGCGCTGCCCCGGCCCTCCCGAGGCCGCCCGCCCGCCCGCCCGCCCGCGCCCGGCCCCGCCGCGCAGCCCGGCCGCGCCCCGCCGCCGCCATGGGCTGCCTGGGAAACAGCAAGACCGAGGACCAGCGCAACGAGGAGAAGGCGCAGCGCGAGGCCAACAAAAAGATCGAGAAGCAGCTGCAGAAGGACAAGCAGGTCTACCGGGCCACGCACCGCCTGCTGCTGCTGGGTAAGGGCGGGGCGGGGGGCGCCGGCCCCGGCCCGGCCCGGGGCCCCGAGGGGCGCCCCGCAGGCCGCGCGCGCCGAGCCCGCCCCCCGTCCCGGGCGCGCGCTCCCGGCCCGTGGTCCACCCGCGGGCTCGCTCCGTGGGGGGCGAGGCCGGAAGGGGGACCCCGGGCGCGGATTCGGCGGGGAGGGGGCTCCAAACTGGGTGCGGGCCTTGGCGGCGCGGCGCGGGTCCCTCTCCCGCCCCCCCCCCGGCCGCCGACCCCCTCGGGCCTCCCCGCGCGCCCCCGTGTCTCCCCGCGAGGCCTACACGACGCCAGGGGCCGGGGCGCGTGTGGGGAGGGGGAGGGGAGGCCCACGGGGCTCCGGAGACTGCGACAAAAAGAGGGTTTCGGGGACAGGAAATGGGGTGGCGGGCCGAGGGCGGGGGACCCGCCTCCGTGGGGAGTGTGATTTGTTGGGAGAGGGCGAGGGGGGCCGAGAGCAGCGGGGGCGACGCTGGGGGGCGCCACGGCGCCGGAGGGGCCTCGCCGGCGGCGAGGGAAGTGGCCGCGGGTGGGGGGGCGAGTGACATCAGCCCCTCGGGAGCCCCGAGCGGTAAAGGTGGTGCAGTGGGGGAGGGGCGCGAGTCGTGGCGCCGAGGGGGGCGGGGAGGCCGCGCGCCGCTCTGGGCGCGACTTGGTGCGACTCGGGCCGGGGAGCTGCCGTGTCCCCGGGCCGGCCGTGGAAGGAAGAGAAGGACAATCAAATAAAATGAGACACACACGCGCGCGCGCGCACACGCCGAGTGGAGAGTTAGGACGCAGAGTGCCCGGGGAAGCCAAATGACACGTCATTTTACAGTATGACCTTTTTTTCCCCTTCCAGACTCGGGCTTTTTGTAAAGCGGTGAAGAAAATTAATTGTACCAGCTGCCCCCCACCCCCGCCCCAACAGCGCCCCCCACACCCTTGCAATAAGCCATTAAACACATACATACACACACATACACACACACACATTTTCCTGTTAGCCACATTGTGAGTGCTTTGTGAAAAAAGAAAAAAAAACGTTAACAAATCAGATAAAACTGGAAAATGACATTTGTCTGGAAATGGCTTCTTGGTCTGGAAATGGCGTTTAAAAAAAATTGTCCTTTTCAAGGTGGGAGGGGGGACAGCGCTCTGAAGGGAAGACTTCCCAGGGGGAGACGAAAAGACATTAATTACTTTGTCAAGTGACATTTGGTTGTTTGGTTTTTCTTCTCTTTTTTTTTGATTGTGGTTTTTCCTCTTTGGCCAAACGCATGGTGGGGCTTAACCCTGGAGAGATGGCCTTTGTTTTTTTTTTTTCTTTAAGGTGCAGCTTTGGGAATACACAAACCAATCATTTAAAAAAATTGTTGAAATGAACAGACGAATTACACAAGCATTAATTAGAATGGAAGTTTTCTATTTCCTTGCTTAATTGGCCATCTGAATAGATTTGTGAATGTGCTAGGTTCAGGCCTAGTCCATGGTCACATTTCAACAAAACAGCTCGATTATCAAGAATAAAATGTAAAAGACTGGTTTTTCTCGTGGTGGTGTTTGGCTTGCTCTTTTTGGATAGGTCATATATTTGTTCTCCTGGGTCCAGATTAATAGGAGCAGAAAATTATTATTAAGTGAAAATTTATGCATTTGCAGTTTCAGTAATTAAATGGTATATATGCAGAGGTCCTGTCTAAAACTTCTAAGGGTGAATTATGCTATTTGAATATTAATGTGCACATGATTTGATTTCAAAGTATTACCTGGAAAAGTCTGGAATATCTTGCTATCTCAAATAAGTCAAGTGTGATGCTAATAACACTTAAATTTCTAACACCTTTTGTATAGCAATCACCAGGTCTCCACTTAATTTGAGACTGTTATCTGCACACACCTGACTTTGCTGTGGGCTTATCTTTTGAGGGGCCCTATAGGGCTGCATTTTGTGAGGATTTATTGATAGCCTTTGGTACAGAAATCTGTAGCCCTATCAGTGACAACATTTTGCATTTTAAAATGGTGACACTGACCAAATAATGCCCCCCCAAAAGAGGAAATATAATGCCCCAAATCCTCTTTTTACTCCATCTTAATTTAATGGTGTGAAAATTAAGTGAATCACAGCACAAAAAAATAATCAGCCCATTTCTTTAACCTCAAATGTGGAAACTGAGGCACAAATCTGCTTGTGCCAGTAAAAGGCAGATATTTTGTATCTTAATGGTTCTGAGATAAAAATATTGGAAATCCTGATTAACATGTGTTGTCATTATGGGATCTCTTAATAGTGCTTTTTATATTTTAATTTATGAAATTTATGGTGTTTGCTTTGAAATCAATGTTTTTGTGGAAACTAATTTTAACTTTTCACAGATATTAATTATATCCTTCTGAAGAAGCAAAAGGAGGAGGATTGCTATCTGGACATTAAAACCAAAAAATGGAATTAAAAGTAAAAAGAAAAATGGATAAAAAAAACCAGATTTGTGTGGGAGGAGGGCAAAGAAAACAGTTTACATAGGGATGATCTGTTAAGAGTGCATTTACAAAAAAAAAAAAAAAGAAAGAAAAAGCAATCCTCCTCCCTCTGGCTTTATGGTAACGTTTTTTCTATACATTTTTTTTTTTTCAACAAATGCAAGGTGATTTAAAATGGATGCACGTGGCCCTTCCAACTATTTTCCAGTTGAGGACTGAGAACCTTTGAAATTCAGTGGTTTCCAGGAATATTATTTCTCCTGATTGATTACATCTTGTCCTTTCATTATGACTCTTTGTGAATGTTGCAGGTTACCTAATGTTAATGTGGTCTCAGGTGCTCTATTTGATATTAAAGTGGGTGTTTGGAGAGGGTGACAGACAATTGATGGTTTTCCATTTTCTTCTGCAACACTGTTGTATCCAGACAGAATGTATCTTTAGAAAGACCCAGTTTGCAGGAGAAAGGAGGGTGAAGAAGTAGTTAAAATGTAATATTGTGGGTTTTGGGGTGGGAAACCTGCAGGGAAGGTTGCTGCAGTGTGCAAATGTTGGGGGGGGGAGTGCTGCATTGGTACGTGCTGTGGAGGAGGCTGCAGTGTTGGGGCACTGTTTGCAAATCCTGGGTATTTTAACCATGAAACATTGACAAACAATGAATTATGTGGTTATTTACATTCACGAGTCCTTTTACTAGTGAATTGTCACTTTGAAGCTTTTGTGTCACAGTTTTAACTTCAGTTTTCTCCCCCTTCAAAATGACAAAGTTGCGTCATCCTCTTTGCCCCTTACCTTGAGCACCCACAAATTTTAAAACAGCCAAAAGAAAAAAAAAACCCAAAACCTGGAAATGAAAACAGCCAAACCTTTAATTCTTGTTTGTTATTCTGGTGAAATACTGCAGGGTAGACACTGAGTTGGATTTTAATTATCTTTGCGTCGAAATGTCAAGCAAAATTGCAAGTCTGCTGTGCTTGTTGTTGTGTGTTGCTGCTTTGAAAAAAACAAACAAACAGAAGTTCTCTCCCTGCCCAAAGTGTGAGATGCCTCTTTCTTAACCTGAGACTTACTTTCGTTTTCTAGGTGCTGGAGAATCTGGTAAAAGCACCATTGTGAAGCAGATGAGGATCCTACATGTTAATGGGTTTAATGGAGAGTAAGTGTCAAATCTGTGTCCAGGCCGTAAGAGTGACAAATTCATACTAACCTTTAGGAAGTGTAGGTAGGTTTTAGGACTGGGCAGGTAATTTTCACCTTTTTCCCCCTAATTTATATATTAGAAACTTTTGGTCAAGCTCTTGGGGCTGCCCCCTTCCCCGTTAACCTTTGGTGCAGTAAATAAAATAATAATAACAAAGCACCTGTGTTCCTGTGAAACCCCACCCCATCCCAGGAACACGTTCCGGCTGCAGTACAGATGACAGCACTTGGCTGTCCCCTGTGCAGCCTCGCACTCTGCGGCAGTGTCTCCAGCAGGGCTGGCACGGCCTTGACCACCCTTGTCTGGCCAGTGCTGACCTGTGCAGGATGTTTTAAACTCTTACGGAAACATTGTTTCAATAATATCCTTATATAACACAGAGTTGGATGTGACGGCCTTTGTTGACAATTTTGCGCTTTTTTTTTTTGCCCCCTTTTAAATGAACATGGTGGGCAAATAATTTAAAGGTATTTCAAAATCAATACCCCTGCCTACAGAAATGAAAGGGAAGCATTAAAATGATGAAAAGGCTGGGAATTAAATATTTCCTCCTGGTGCAAGGGGCATTTTTGCCTTTGAAATGTCCTTCCCGGCCTTGTGGCATAAGACAGCGTGGCAGTACTGCAGTGAGAATAAAGGTTTGCTAAACAGAGAAACAGTGTGTCTGAGAGATGTGACATTACCACAGGGTCCTGCACGAAGCAACCAAAGGAATATTCAGGAAATCAGGAAATTAATTTGCTTTTTTACCCTCAGACCCAAACTGGCCTGTCCTTTATCGTCCTGTGAAGCAGAAAAAGCTAATTTCCCACTCGGGTTTTGCTCCTGTGGGGGCGCCTGGTCCCACTGGAGTGCGAACACCTGAAGTGCTGGTTAGTCCGCAGTGACTGGCTGGCCATTGAGCCCATTCCCTTGTTAGCCTGGGTTCAATTGAAAGTTCCTGTAGTCACTTCCATCTCACAGGAAGAGAGAGGGAGGCCAGGGCGGGCGGTTAATCCCATCACGAACCCCTCCTTCCCCTCATGAGTTAGGGAGCCAGGGACTTTATTACCTAGGGAGTTAGGGACTTTATTACCTGTCAGACTGCTGAAACTGGTTCTTTACTGAAAATTCTAGAATTTGTTAGCGTAGATAATAGGAGGTTAGAAAAAGATGACATCACCTGTGTGAATGGTTATTTAGATTTAGGATGGTTTTTCTATTTTAACCCTGAATTCAGAAAGATTAGTTAGTATGCACCAAGCACACACGGGCTTATTTGCCAGTTTTCTGAATGATTCGATGAGCTGTCGTCCTACACCTAGATGCTATGAAGTACGTCACCTTCGCTTGTCACAAACCACTTCTGAAATTCCTAATTCCTGAGTAGGCATCTAGCCATTCACCTGTAACTTTACAAATCTTGAGCATAAATCCCCCTGCCCAGTAACTTACAGGGAGTGCTAACTTCATGAGACTAGTTAAGCAAAAATAATTTGACCAAGCACCCTTTAGATAAATATTTTGATTAAAGCTGGACATAGCTAACATTTTAAAAAGATGCAGCAGCCACTGTTTACCTTAGCTTGAGTCAGATGGAAGAGAAATCATCCTTGAAATAATTCTTTACAGGTTACCCTAAAATTGTAAAATTTTTGCAGAAAGGGTTCACCTCCATAAAGGAGCCAGCCTAATACAGACAAGGCTTCTAAACCAGAACATCTCATTTCTATTTTCTTTTCAAAAAAAGGAAGTGGCATTCCCAGTTTGCCTCCTTTGTGGACCTCAGAAGAGGTTAAATTTAGCCTTCAAAAGCAACATGCAGGGGGCTGTTAGTGGGGTGAGGGTTAGGACCTTAGTTTTACCTAATCTAGCTACGTGTGCCCTCTCCTTTCTCCTCACTGTGGTATTGCTACAAAATTCCCGGGTAAAGTGTGACCTCTGTCCCAAAAGAGTGGTCTGCCTGGTGCAGGACCTCGCTTCCCCTCGTCTGTTCTGCCCCGCCATCCTGCACTGTGTTAGTTCTAGGCTGAGCTGTGAAATTTGCCTTAACGGTCCACAGGCTGCCATGCCAATTACATTTTCAAACTAACATCGTATTAATGTGACCTTCAGAAATACAGAAGTCGAATATGGGTTTTTCTAATTCAACGCTAACTCTTTCTTACCTTTAACGCCAGAAAAAAAGTCGTCATTAACATTGGTTAAGCTAAGTTAATCAATTTTAAAACCACGTAGAGGGTTTAGCTCTTCTTCCATCCTCGAGGAGCAATGCCTACAATTTATGAAGATCAGGTTTGGTTTTTAATTGTTTTTTGATTTATTTATTTTGCTGCTTTGTGGTCCAGACAGTTGTAACAGATGACAATTTATAAACATAAACACTGGATAGATAGTTTCCCCCACTGCAAGAAAAGAGGTCATTTTTGCACCAGGAAATCATAGGCACAGATCTCTGGTCGGCGCTTTCTCATGCTCAGAACGTTTGGAAGATTGTGACCTGGGACAATTAGGAGGAGCCTTCTGCGCTGCCTTATTCTCAAAAGAATTGTGCAATACATCACTGCCGTAGGTCCCTGATGCATGTACATTTAGTGAAAGCACATGAAAATAATTATCTGTCCCTCCTGTATCCGACCAGAGTCTCCAGAGGGCCTTGTTAATACTGCAGGGGAGGTGTGCAGTTCTCCCCCTATGGCCCAGCCAGCAGTCCCCACAGACATCTGAGTTAGCCAGAAAGGCCACCTAAGACCTGACTGACCGAAGGGAGGATGGCGCGCGCGAATTGTTTGCTCTTGGCTGATTGTTTAGGATGTGGAGAGGCTGTGTGGGGTTTGTGTGGAATTGCGGTGCCTTGCAGATTAGGTGAGCTTTCAATCTCTCTTTACAAGGGGCGGCGAAGAGGACCCGCAGGCTGCAAGGAGCAACAGCGATGGGTAGGCACATTCAAAACAGAAAAACTTTTTAACAAACAAAACAAACATGAAGATCATGCTGGGAAACTGAGGACACAGACTCGGGAAGAAAATAATCATTTAAGGGCCATCAGCCATCTTGGTATACGTTTGCAAATGATGTGTAAACAATTTCTTAAGTAAAGTGCAAAACAATCCTGTTGGCCATACATAAAGTATAATTAGATCCAGCTGGGGGAAAGCTATAAATTTCAGCTTGAGACGATAATTTAGAATTTTGAGAATCAATGTTTTTCCATATGGTTTCTATTTTCCCCCAGTTCTCCATTTGAATCAACTGCTAGTTTCTAAAACTATACCGAATTCTATCTGCCAAGTGTTGGTCTGATTTTAAAATTTCAGATTTCTTTGAAAAAAATTTTTTTCTCTCTATTAATATATTCAGTGCCTCACGGTTCTTAGTTTTGAAAAATGCCTTGGCACTTTGTGGCAGGTCATTATTAATCATCTCGAAGCCTCTGGCCTTTTAAAAATGATCACATTTATTCTAATCCAAAGCACTTTACATCACCTAGTAGATAAGGACATTCATGATGGCATCTTTTTTTTTTCCATTCATTGTCACTTTTTCTTTGTCTCCTGCATTGCCACATCCGTCTCTTGTGTGCACATACATACACACATGCACATGCATGCCAGGTGACCCACTCCAGCTCCACTCGCATTCTGAGCATGCAGGGATGGAGCAGCAGTTTCTCATGCAAACACACAGGGCCATTGACTTAGCCTAGGGCATTTCAAAAGAATGGCTTCTGTGGCTGGGAGAGGCGGGGCAAAGGGTCCTGGGATGGGGACCAAGGAACTGACACCTGTTTGTTCATCTGTTTCTTTTAGAATATATTATCCCTAGATGATGGCTACAGTTTCTCATCTTCCCGGCTATGTCCTATCACAATTTGCATGCTGGAATTGCTCTGTCTTAGGATCTTCTAATAAGAATACTATTCTGTTGTCTGGGGGGAGGGGGGATTGGGCCCCTACCTATCACCTCACCTTTAGAGATAAGTAAAAACAAAAAACAAAACAAAAAAAAATTAGCATCCTTAATTGGCAAAAATGTAGTAGATCAGTAGTCAAAGGCATCTATCTAAAAAGTGACTAATCATCTGTACCAGAAGTTGGCCTCTGAGAACTAAGACGTCCTATTGAGCATCCTACTGTGTACTAGATGTTGTGCTAAACCCTTGAGCCCTACTAATACCTTGCCTGCACGTCTCTGTGATTCTGTTCTACAAGTAAATATAAGTATTAACATTCCTGATAAATAAAAATTCTCTGCATGTCTCAGCAATCCCTGTATCTTGCGTCTGTCTTCTGTCTTTCTTCTTTTTGTCTGTCCCCACAAAAGCACAAAGATAAGGGTTAGACCCAAATGGAAGGTAGCACACAGTCTCCCCCACCCCTTAGTTGAAGCGGGGCAGGGCCTTTTAAACATGCTAACCCTACTAATCTCTCTGGGGGGAGGGGCACAGCGCTACCCTAAAAGTACTTCTACCCACCTCAACCTTTTGGTCAAGTAGAATACTGGCAGGTGACATATATTTTGCCTTCGCCTAGTGGCTTAGAGGCATCTGAGGAATATTCTTTTAAGTTTTACGATCAACATTCATTAAGCAGTAGTACAAATGATGATAAACCTGCCAACCCCCAGTATAATATCTCCATCTACATAGTAATTGCTTCAATGGAAGAATTTTATGTTTTAGTATTACACGCCCGAATTAGATTTTAGATTTCTATTTTAGCTGTTTTATACTTGATATACTCCCACACCTATTCACATACGTAGATGAATACTGAACACGTTCTCAAAATATCCGTATTTTAAGACTGGAAGTTTTCCAATTATACTACTACTTAGACCAAAATATCAAACTGAAAGAATCTCATTTCTGGAAATATTTTTCTCTTGTTGCATGTGGATTTGGGTATTTTTTAATACCTAAGCACACCTCATTTTTCTGTTGTAGGAACTTAAAACCGGAGCTTCAGGGCTGCCGGTACCAACCTGGAGGAGTGTTTTTAATGAGGGAGGGCAAATTTGGCCTAGGGGGTTTGAGTAAAATTCTGCACCAAAAAGTGAACTTGAGGGACATCAAACGCATGTCCTTTTAATCTCCTACATAGAAATAATTTTAGACGAGGCTGGGAATTTTGGTTTCCAGAAACGAGCTTGGTTCCTGCACTGGGCCCGCAGACCTGCGGGGGGCGGGGGTGCAGAGCCTCCGCCGAGGGGCGGGGCCAGAGCGGCGCGGCCGCCAGGGTTCGGCCGGTCCCACACTCTGGGTCCGGGCTCGCGCTTCAGCCTCTCGGCCCAAGGTTCCGAGCCCACTCGGTGCTTTCAGTTCCGGGAGAATTCCTGGTCGCACCTGCCTCGGCCACGCCCCCTCTCCCCACCGCTCTCCTAAGCGACAGCAGAGCCCTTAGACCTCGCTGGCCCCTGATGTGCGAGAACGCGGCTAATGAAAGGGCCCAGCGAAGAGCCAGGCGCCGTCCTGGGGATAAAGGGAGAGCGTTCAGAAGACGAGGGCCGCCCTCCAGACAGACACACTCACTTGGAAATGGTAGAATGCCCAGAAACTCTTAGGATGCTTTGAAAAGGAAGGGGCAGGTGGCTTGGAGAGGGCCGTGGCCCGCATGCGCAGGAACTCAGTCTCCCCCCCCCCACGCCTCTCCCTCTCCCTCCCTCCCTGGCACCTACACCACTAACTGCTTGGCCTGGCTGCAGTGACTATCGATCCCCCTTTCATTTCCTCTTCCTTGATCTAGCCTGCTCTACTACGGAGGGGCTGTTTAATTTCTGCCTTCATCCTGTGACTCTTGGTAAATCAGCCACGTAAATGTTGCAAAAATTGGGGATTTCAAATTACAATCAAAAAGCAGCTGTGTACATTGCCCCCACCCCTTCTGCCTCAGACTAGGACTTTCCCTGTCAGTTTATTTCCCTTTGGGGGATGTGGCATGACGGACAGATGGGTCCCAGGGCCAGACACCCAGCAGGTGATGGGCGCGTTGTTTCTCTTACCTCACAATGAAGAAGGCAAGGTTAGGGTTAGATACAAGATCTATACCCCAGGGAAGAGGAGTTCTGCTGTCCCCTAAGAACACAAGCTTCGGGGGCTCCCAGAGCTGTGCCTCTAATGAAGGCCATTTTCTAAAACAAAGCATTTACATCAGTGTGGCGTACTGCAAAAATTAGCATACTGGCGGGACCCCAGCAGCCAAAGGTTGGACCTTTATCAGTGAGACCAGAGATCCTGAATATAAATCATTCCACGGATTCCACACAGGCTCTCCTGGATGGTGCATTAGCATCAGAATTAAAGCAGCTGCAAAACCTCAGCCTGACCCCGCCCCCCAGCATTAGAAATTCTGGGGCGGCTCCTATTTGATTCCTAGTCACACCGAGGTACCAGTGTACACTGTAAACCAGAAAACACTGCTAGTGCAGTACCCAAAATAGCATCTTTTAGATGCACAACCGTTTAAATAAATAACTGGGCTGCAAATAGGACCGCAGAGCCCTGGAATCCATGATTAATGATTTTACCACCACCACCAGCATTCAGTGGTTCCCAGTGCATTAATCTAGCAATGGAGCCAATCCCAAATCCCCTCCTGTGATGACCCCTGACCCCACCCCAGCAGGGATAATGATGAGGGCCAAGCAGAAGCCTTGGGGATGTGTTAGTGTGCGGCGTGGGGGCTTCAAACCCAAGAGCCGCACCTGGAACAGCAGAGGCAGCAGGTGTCACTTCTGGTACAGTTGATCATGATCTCGACCTGCCCCATTGGGCATGGCCTGAGGATGCATTTGGGAAGCTATAGTTTATTCAAGTGTCTCTAGTCTCCACACAGATCCAAACCCACAACTCCTTGAAGAACAGAATACTATGCTTTTTAGTTGGAGAGTCTTGATGAAAGGGACGCTCCTGGAGGGCAGGATGCAATATGATTCTCTTTTTCTTTTCAATCCCACTGTAGTGAGAAGGCCACCAAAGTACAGGACATCAAAAACAACCTGAAGGAGGCTATTGAAGTAGGTGCCCTGCTCCTGCTCTCTTGACTTTTAGCACCCCCGCCCGTAGTGCTGCTCCCCTGACTGCTTTACTAAATCGTTTTCAGACCATCGTGGCTGCCATGAGCAACCTGGTGCCCCCTGTGGAGCTGGCCAACCCTGAGAACCAGTTCAGAGTGGACTACATTCTGAGCGTGATGAACGTGCCCGACTTTGACTTCCCACCTGTAAGCCCCGCGTCGGCCCTGTGTAGCCAAAACCCACCCCCTCAGCAGTAAAGTGAGCCCTTGGGACGCTCAGGGACACCCAAACAGCTGTGGAGTGGCAGCTTAGGGTGGTACTGATGCCACACATGCCCTGAAGATTCAAAAAGGGAAAGAAAATAAAAACTAACATACTATTAGGGCATTGCTAAAGGTGGACCAGCAAAATTCTATCACCCCTTACACACTGAGTCTCACCTGCCCCACAAACACTGCACCTTAATAACAGCATCCTTACTTTATTAGACTGTAAATGTTTGAGGGGAAAAGTCCTGAGTTATGACAGGCTTAATTATTCCCTCATTCACATGCTATGGAAAACAAAACTGAAATATGGCATACAAAGATATAGGAACGAAACATCGAGGAGGATGTTTGCATTTTTAAACCAACTACCTTTTAACATTAAGGATTTTCTAAAGTCAGTCCTTACATGGGGCAAATGAAGACACCCTTAGCTAAAACACTGAGTTATTGTTCCCTTTATAATGGCTTTCAGTGGAAATTTGGTTTTTGTATTTTAAATGGGTTTGGCTGCAAAAATAGATTAGTGCAGAAGTAGTATTAATTAGTGTAGGTATGATTTTAAAATAGGAATTAATTTTAAAAATTCACACAGTAAACATAAACATGAATAGCAACCCTAACTTTCCATGATTCTGTATTTTTACTAGAAGACAAAAAGGCAACTATTCAGTACATATCCAGTGGTAACTTTCAGTCAGTCCCACCAACACCTGGATTTGGTGCTCCTATCTATCGCTCCCCATCATAATTTTTGGTAAAACTCCATTTTCCTTGAAAAAAATATTAGCCTCAGCACCTCTTACCAGCAAAGTTTCTTGTTTCCACAAGGCCAGTCACTCCCTGGTATATCCTAATACAAATTAGTACATATTCTTTCTTTATGAAAGAATGTGCAGAGACAAAACTATCCAGTAGTTTATTTCCTCTTGCCCCCAAGATATAGGAAACTATCCTAAACCAGTAATTCACCATAGGAGAAAAGGAATGCATGACGGCAACTTTTGGATATGTTTACCACATTGAATTAAAGTTCTAGGCAAGCATTAAAGTGCTAGTCACAGTGAGCCGTGGTCTCAGTGTAAGTGATGGCGCTCTTGGTTTGGTGCATGCTTTCCTGAACGTCTTTCCTGAACGTTCTCTCTTGGCTTCCCTTCCAGGAATTCTACGAGCATGCCAAGGCTCTATGGGAGGATGAAGGCGTGCGTGCCTGCTACGAGCGCTCCAACGAGTACCAGCTGATTGACTGTGCCCAGTAGTGAGTAACGGCCTCCTTTCCCCTCTCAGTCTGCACATACACAGGCGCAAAGGGACAAAACTGGAATACCTGAAGTTCCACCAATTCTTTGCACAGAGCCCGGCCAGTAACCCTACCGCGGTCACAAAGTTCTAGTCTGATTCATTTGTCATAAAAAGCATTTAATTGCACTTTTTAGTACAGTGACACTATTTTATATAAACAATACCTGCTAGAGGAAAATGATTATTATTTGCAATACAGTAACGTTCATAATTAATTAGTCTGAAGGAATTAACTGAAATGACCTGTAAGAAGTTAGAGAAATTGGGTAGCTTTCACACTTTGGATAATGTAAAAATGTTATACTTGATTCCTGTAATTTAAAAGTGTAACAAGAACAGAAGAAAGAAAAACATGCTTCCCCACTCCCGGCAGTTAATTGCTTTGCTGTTTTCCGTTATAAGGCAGGTAACTTTAGAAGCTGCCACAGTGTACATTATTACTAGATTATGTCAGTCTACATGGAGTTTGTTTTCGTGACTTTAGAGCTGTGTCATATTTATTCCTTTATACCAAAGATGGTAAGTAGTCAGTGCATTTAAATTAGGCTACATACCTAAGCAACACAGCACCGTGTTTACAAATAAAAATAGGAGGACAGGTAAGCCTAGCAGTTACCCAGAGAGAGACACCTTTCCCAATTAAACCCTAAAAGGGGACAGGTTTGCCCAATAAGGATGTTGGTAAATGAAGGTGGAGAAAATTATTTAAAGGACAGATTTTTAGTGGACACCTCTGCCTGACACCCAAGGGACTCCTCCACCTGTGGCCTAAAACAGGGCCTTTCGCCCCAGGGGGCTCCCAGCACCCTGCCAGGCCTCGCTGCCACAGGGCCTAACACCATACATCTGGAAAGTTGCCTTTTAAATACTTTATGACCTCCCTCATCCTGCACACACCATAGCAAGCATATGGTGGTCTGGATCATAAAAAACTTAAGGGACCCCTTTTATTATGATGCATACAGCAACTCTGTGCTCTAGAGCAGGAGATTCTTTTGTACTCGGTGGGGCTAAAGAGTGAGGGTATCTCCACTTTGATGTGAGCTGATGTCAGGGACTGTGGAGTCAGTCAGTCTGTCTCTCCCCAGCCCTGCTTTCTCATAGGAAGTTATCTGATTATTTTTAATTGTCACGTAAATAGGTATATCATGGTATAATACTCAAGCAAAGGTGCATATTCTTTCAAGGAACAGAAGAACAGTCCATCATGGTCCCCAGCCCCCACTCCTTCAACAAAGTCCCTGATTTTCTCCAAAGTTTGAACTGAAAGCTGGAAGCACTAATTATAGTAACGCAAAACAAATGGAAATCCTGGAATTGTTTGGGATTTGTATTTTGGATCCAAGTCAGGAGTTAAGTACAGGTACGAGATTAGGAGGGTTTAATTATTCCAGTTGTGAATGTTGGGGCAGGGGGATGGAACAGTTTAATTAACAGTAATCTAGCCAGGCTGTTTTTGGTTACATCATTCAAAAGTTTCTTTTTTTAAAAAAAAGCAGTACAGCAATACTCCTGGAACTTTATTTGAAAATGGCACCATTGGCACAGACTTTGAAAAGTTTTCAAGAAACTCCAAAAAAGAGAACATAACTTAAAACTTTTAAAATGTTTTCCCTAATCAGATGGTTAAAAAATCCCTACATTTGCAGTGACCAGTAGGTTTCTAGTTTTGACTGCCTTTATGTTGGAGCAAGATAATGGTCTGGTGCCCATTTCTTAAGCTGCCTATTTTTATTTGTTGAGCTGGAGTTTGGCTGGCCCCACTCCAGATGTCTTCTCACAAGATTTGGTGCTGAGGATCTATTTATAGAACTGTGGTTCTGTTGCCATGGCAACATGCTGGAGGCCAGGGTGGCTGGGGAGCTATTTCTGGACCCGTGCTGTAATGTAAGATTGATTGGGCAAGTTCGCGTATCCCTTCAGCCAGGCCAGCCCCGAACTGGTGAAAGGAAGGGGAAAAGGGAAAAAGAAAGGAGCTTAAGAGAGTTCTTTAAATAGACTTTTTTTTCCCTTTTGTGATTTTATTTTATGATTAGCCCATGCTGAAACAATTGTACCCCCCACAAAAAAAAAGACCAAACTGGTTTCCACATTAATATTTCATATTAGTTAAATTTGCCCAACTTTGCAATGTTCACTTTCCTTAATTGTGTATATCTAGGAAAGGCAAGATACCATTTTAAACTAAAAGTTTTTAATATCTGAGGTGTCCTATTTCACGGACCTGACACATGGGAAGGGAGCTTGGTGTGTGTTTCCTGTTCAGTGCAGCGAGGCCCAGAAGGGCCCTTTGTGCTTGCCCTTTTGTTCTCACTAATCAATGAGATTCTTAAAAAGTAAAAAGGAAGGACATATTATGAGTAACTAAAACAATCTCCTTTGCCCTTGAGGGAAAAGTCCTTGCTGCTTTAACATGCCAGTCCACATATTTTTTAAAAGCTGAGTGACTTGGAAACATGCAGTTTTTCAAACTATTGTCTGTTTAGTCAAAGCCAGACAATTTGAAAATTAATATATTTTTGTCAGTCATGTCAGTATGTCATTTATCAAATGACATGGGCTCTGTAGGCCTGGCCTAGGGTCCCTGCACTCTCAGTTGATAAGTATGAAGCCAATCTTTTTAAAACTGAAAGCAAGAACAAAGCCCCGCCCCCATCCTGGCTGTCCATTCCCATCCCTGTGGGACAGTCCCATCCAGTTAGACAGTCCCGCACCCGGACAGGAGGCAGACAGTGGATGAGTTGGTGCAAGCTCTGAGAACATGGTCACGTTGTCTTCTCTTTCTTGAAGCTTTCTGGACAAGATTGATGTCATCAAGCAGGCCGACTACGTGCCCAGCGACCAGGTACGCAAAGCTCAATGAGAGGACTAGAGTCCTCTTTTCAAGCTAAGCAAGACTTTCTCTCCAATGGGTAATATTATTTCGGTTGGTTTTAATGAGATCCACTAACACTGGTTTGTGATAGGACCTGCTTCGCTGCCGCGTCCTGACCTCTGGAATCTTTGAGACCAAGTTCCAGGTGGACAAAGTCAACTTCCAGTAAGTGAATGGTACTTTTTATAAAACAGGCAGTGGCTTCTGACATGCTTTCCACCATTATTGTGGTGGCCCCTTGGAATAACCAGATGTCCATTCTCCCCACCAGCATGTTCGATGTGGGCGGCCAGCGCGATGAACGCCGCAAATGGATCCAGTGCTTCAATGGTATGGATGTAACCGGTTTTATTGCTCTGTTGCAGTAAGAGGGAGCCTTTCTCTTGTATCACTGACTCCTGTTGGTCACATGCCTTTCAGATGTGACTGCCATCATCTTCGTGGTGGCCAGCAGCAGCTACAACATGGTCATTCGGGAGGACAACCAGACCAACCGCCTGCAGGAGGCTCTGAACCTCTTCAAGAGCATCTGGAACAACAGGTGAGTATTGTGTCCCCTGTCCCGTTTGCCCAGAGCCTTGTGACTGCTCCGGGGAACCGGGTCTACGCTGTTCTAGAAAGGACTCCCATAGCAGTCCCTCGGCAAGCATCTCAGCCCCCTGCAGAAAGCCCACTTCGTCTTCTGCTCACTAAACCTGCTTCCCTTGGTGTTAGATGGCTGCGCACCATCTCTGTGATTCTGTTCCTCAACAAGCAAGACCTGCTCGCTGAGAAAGTTCTTGCTGGGAAATCCAAGATTGAGGACTACTTTCCAGAATTTGCTCGCTACACTACTCCTGAGGATGGTACGTGTGGCTTCTGATCATGGGAGCAGTTCCCTCAGGCGGTTACTTTTCGAGAACACTCCCTGCTCCCTCATATCCCCAGACTATAAAGGATCTGGAGGGGAAGGCAGAAAGCATATTTTCACGTGGAAAAATCAAAAATCAACCAAGAAGGGAAGCTGACGTTAGCACCTCAGCTCCGCTCTCATCTGCACCTTCTTAACTAGTACATTTCCATTCTTTGTAGCTACTCCCGAGCCTGGAGAGGACCCACGCGTGACCCGGGCCAAGTACTTCATTAGAGATGAGTTCCTGGTGAGTAGAACTGTCTGTGGCACCCTTTGTAGTTACAGGATCAGCTGACTTAATTCTGAACTTGGGGATTGAACCATCCAGTCTTTCCATGTTCTGTCACCCATATCCAGCATGCATGTTAGCTGTCTGTGCCCCTCCATGTGGCCATGTCACTGGTGGTGGTGGGTCCACACTTGTCCCTGGTGGGGTGACCACGGAGGTCCCCCGCCAGGAGTCCCTAACTGCTTTCGCGTCTCTGTCCACAGAGAATCAGCACTGCTAGTGGAGATGGGCGCCACTATTGCTACCCTCACTTTACCTGCGCTGTGGACACTGAGAACATCCGCCGTGTGTTCAACGACTGCCGCGACATCATCCAGCGCATGCACCTCCGTCAGTACGAGCTGCTGTAAGAAGGGAACCCAGACTTAACGACAGCCTTAAGCACAATTCATGGAAAGTGAAACGTAATTGTACAAGCAGTTAATCACCCACCATAGGGCATGGTTAACAAAGCAGCCTTTCCTTTCCCCTGAGTGATTTTTGCGAAACCCCTTTGCCCCTTCAGCTTGCTTAGGTGTTCCAAATTTAGACAGCTTAAGGCGGCCTACAGAAAAAAAGGCCACAAAGGTTCCCTCTCACTTTCAGTAACTAAAATAACAGCAGCAAACAGAAATAAATAAATAAATAATGAAACGAATGAAATAAATATTGTGTTGTGCAGCATTAAAAAAATCAAAATAAAAATTAAATGTGAGCAAAGAATGTTGTGATCCTCATTATTTGCGGGTCCCCAGCTAATTCTCGTTGGTCCTGGGTTCGATGTAGACCTAGAATGCAGAGTCAAAGGGCTGCTTGGTGAGGTGTGAGGCGTGGGCCCTATGATTATAAGCTGGCATACAGCTCTGCCACGGTGTGCTTTTTGGTGACCTAATCTTTGGGACACCATGAAAAGTTACCCTTTACCTTGCCACAAGGAATGCCACCTTCCCATCACTGCTGCCCTGCCCTTGTGGTCCGCCAGCTTTTCACTATGACATCGTCACGCCGTGTCCCCCCCTTCTAAATCTGGTCTCCCTCGCAAAGCTGTTAGGTTTTTGTTACAAGACACAAACTGAAATCTGTGGGTAAATTTACAAATGTATTTCCAATCAGTGGAGTTATTAAGAAAAAGCTGGTATTTAAACAGCAAGCTTATCATTTTGGGAAAGGTTGAAGCTAAGTCCTACTTCATACCATGCAGCAGGATAAATTAGATGTGAATCTGTCAAACCATTAAATTTTAAAGGTGCTAAGAGGCTGTCTTTACAATTAAGATCTTGGCTTGTAGAAGCCACAAAGGGGTTCTAAAAGCCACAGGGGGTGGAGATGACTACAAAAATGAAAATCAACATAAAAATATGATGGAGGGGAGTCGGGGCACAAATCTGCAATAAAGGATTCATTAATAAATAAAGAGTTCTTACCAATAAACAAAACCATGAAAAAAATGGGAAAGTCATGAACATGCAATTTATAATAGGGGGCTGGGGATTTAGCTCAGTGGCATAAGCACCTGCCTTGCAAGCAGGCAGTTGTGAGTTTGATCCCCGGTACTGATAAAAAGGAAAAAGACAAAAATAAATAAATAAATAAATAAAATAATACTAATAGAAGATGTGGGATATCACTCATTACAGAAATACAAAGAGACTTTCATTCATTATTGGTGGAGGTTGGGTGGGCATCAGAACTCACAAAGGCTTATATGTGATGAAGCCCAACTGGCATGTGACTTGAACCCAGGATTCATATCCAGCCCCGAGTCATTCACTCCTACGTTCACCTTTCATGGCTGGGTTCCCCCATGGTGTGGCTACCTGAAAGGCTGCAGGGAAGACCTTTGTCAGCCCCTCTATCAACCACTGTGTCCTCTGAAAGAAACCAAATAGGACATGAATCATTTATTCTATAGGCCAGGCCTGAAATCTACTTCATGACCTCCAAAGAAATTAATCCCAGTCAGATTCATCACACAGGAGAGCCCATGGTGATTATGAGCCCTAAGGAGGGCCACAGTAGTGGCAAATACACGGTTCTATGTCCATAAGGCTTCCCAACGCCTACAGGACATGCAGTCCACTTAGGGGTAGGGGTAAGGGTAGGGGTAGGGTTATGGGTAGAACAAGGTTAGGGTTAGGGCTAGGATTACAAGATAGTGTTAAGGTTAGGGTTAGGGTTTGGAGAAAAATCTCAATAGTTCCCCTTAGGTTTAGGGTTAGGGTTAGGGTTAGGGTTAGGGTTAGGGTTAGGGTCCTAATAAAGACACATTGAGTGAAAATACGGCCTTTGGATACAACTATTTTCAGAAGATCAACCCTTTAATCCCCATAATTCCCTAAGTCCTCCCCCCAATAAATTCAACTAGCTCATTAAAACCTGCTTGCATTCACCACACTAATGTAGGAATAAGCATGTTGAATATAAACCAAAGTTGATCTCCCTTCCACCACTCACATCCCCTATCACCTTTTCCCTGATGGGACTCTATTTACTCCTCCTTTATAGCAACTCAGGATAAACTACCACATGATTCATATATGAATGTTATAGAATTTTAAAAATGGGTCTTAAAAAGAATTTTTCCAGCTCATGGAGTAATTATGCCATGTTAAAATGATAATCTAGATCTTCACCTAATGGGCCAAGGAAGCAAAGACAGCATGGCATCTCTCCTAGAATGGCACAGTCATAGTCCTCAGGCAGCTCCTACAGCCAAGTTGATAGGTTCAGTAGTTGCTGTCATCTCATCAATGAATCAAAGAGCCTGAGAGACTTCCAGAAAGGCCCCAAGTGCCATGGCTAACACACCAAGAAGATGGACTTTCAACTTAGCCAAAACCCACTCACTGCCCAGGGCTCAGCTCTGTTGTCCCGGATCATGTAGGAACACAGAGCAAAGGGGCTTCTGGTAATGCATCTTGTTGCCAGGTACCAAGAACCCAGGGCCGGTGTTCCCAGGGGAAATCCTGCAGGGCCCCTAAGAATTCTATCCCCATAGGAGTGCTGGGGTCGCCTTCTTTCACGGGGCAGTGTTGAGCACACAGCTGACTCCCTACCAGTTCTGGCTTTGCCCATGAGAGCCCTTAAAAATACTTTTTTCCCCTCTCCTTCTGAACAGGGTTTCCAAACAATCTTTACAATGCTATTTCAAAGTCTAAATTCTAGAATCTTCATGGAAGGGAAAAAACATTTTGCCTAAATTTTGAGTCTCAAAAGCCATTATTTTTAAAAATTTTAATCTGAATTTTAAACCTCTATTTAAATATAATGTATTAAAAAATAAATGTATTTTTTCTAAAGGTAACAATTTTCATTTTGTTAAATTCTGTAAACCAAATATAACAAATGACTATTCACTGACCTTTGGAGGCTGAAACAGTAATAAACCAGCAGGCCTCCTTGTCCTGTGTAGTGCCTACCATTGGGCAAAGTTTTTTCAGCCTCCACTCTAATTTAAATTAGGGTGAAACTGTATCAAAAGAAATGACCACCTCTGCATCACCCTCCTACACCAATGGCATTCTCTTATTATGGTTTCTTGGATAGTTCCAGTCATCTTTTCAACCAGGAGAGGCCCAGAGAACGTAGAATCCATGCTGGCCAGTAGGAATTCATTCTCATGGGGAGACATCACATAACAAATACAAGTAATGAAAAGGAAGGGTTTCTCTGGGAAGAGGAGAAATTTGAGAGTTCCACTTGCAATAGAATAGCAGATGAAGGCCTCCTAAGGAGGTAAATTTTTTAATGCTAATATAAACAATGAGAAGGAACCAACCATCCAAGCTAAAAATCTTTATTATTTTTAATTATTAAAACATATTAACATTGGGGTCAGGGATTTAGCTTAGTGGCATAAGCACTTGCCTAGCAAGTACAAGGTCATGAGTTTGATCCCTGGTACCAAAAAAAAAAAAAAATTATAAGGTCAGTTATGATACACCAGGTACAGGCCTCATCCCTACGTATAGATTATTTGATTTAACCTTTTAAACCCAAGGAGGATTGTCCCATCACTTACTTATACAACAGACCCTATCCTATTCTACAAATTAGCTGGAATGCAAAAAGAATAAATTATGTATAGTGAATAATTTAATCAAATTATGCTTTTTGTTGGGGTTACACTAAAATAATATTACAATAAACATTTGATTGAATTGCTAAGTTCCCATTTTGGAGTAGAACTTTGTATGTCTAGGATAATTTTCTTACATTTAAACATTCTGGGCTTACCAGTCTTATTTACTGCACTGGTTAGAAGTACCTTCAGCTACAAATAACAGGCTTGCTGAGAGTGGCACACACAGAAGTGTGTATCTCACTGACCACGAACTCTGTGGGCAGGTGGCCCCTGGTACCGCAGCAGCTCATCAGCAGCACTGCTCAGGACTCCAGGGGCCTCTTGGCTTCTCAATTATGATTGCAAGATCATCACAGCCAAGGGAGGAAGGGAAAGGAGTTAAATGGTCCAGGTAAACCTCTTTTGCTAATGTTTCCTAGATACCCTTTGATTCACCTTTCGCCTTGTGACACACACAGACGCTGAGGTAGCTGAATAGCTAGGTGGACAGATGGATACACGGAAACGATCTTTTCAGTGCTTTCCTTTCTTTGCTTTCCTCTCAGCGGTGACAGAATTGAACACGGGCCCACGCACTGTTTTAGCCCCAGCCTCCTCTTTTTTTGTGTGAGACAGTGTTTTGTTAAATCGCTAAATTGCCCAGGATGGGCTCTAACTTGTGATCCTGCTGCCTCAGCCTCCCAGAGTGCTGAGATTACAAGTGTGTGCCACCAGTGGAAAAGTTATCTTTCCACTATTACAAACACAAAAAACACAAATATAGAGGATTTTACAATGTCTTGTTGCACACAACTTGATGGAACATCTTGGAAAATATTTCTAGGGATAACAAAGAAAACTTTTAAATCATAAGGAACTAATTTTCACAATTCTATGTTAGTAACTTACAAGTCAGGAAGGAATAACTGTCCAGAAAAATACTGTTTACCTAAGTTGATTCCAGTGGAGACGTAAAAATCTAAGCAGATCAGTGACCACAGGGAAAATGACAACGGACAGTTAAGAGAATTTGGCAACAAACAGGCTCCAGGCTGATGTTAGGGTGCTGATGACCAGGAGGAACTCACAGTTTTCTGGGGTGCAAATTAGTTCCTGTTTCTTGCTTTAAATGCTGATTAAACAAATATACTACATTTGAGAAAATGTACTGAGCTGTACACTTCTGATTCATGTGTTACTTAGTGTTGTGTCTCAGGTTTTAAAAAATGTTTTAATGAAGAAAAAAGGCACCAGACCTAGGTGGTTTTACACAAGAATTTTACTAAGCCTCAAAAGATCAAATTGCCTAATGCTAGATTGTTCCAGAGCAGAGTAGAAGAAAAACTTTAAAATTCTTTTTGTGAATTAAATATAATGTTAATTCTAAAGCACACCAAATATTGTACCCCAAATTAAAATTATATATTGTTTACTAATGAATATTGATGTAAATATTTTGAAATATAAGCAAATAACCCAATGTTACATTTCAAAAAATAATAATTACACTCAAATAAAAGCTTATTTTAGGAATTCAAAGTTGGTTTGATATTAAGAGATACATTAAGATTTGTCAAAATTTAATACCTATTTACATTTTAGAAATCCAATGCAATATTAATGAACGCTTTCCTAAAATGTATTATACATATAGTATATC